ACAAAATAGTGCAGGTTGGAAGGGACCTTTGGACATGTATTCCAAACCCCTATTCAGAGCAGGTTGTTAGATTGTTTAGGGGTTGTTTGGGGGCCTTCTCCAGCTGAGTTTTGAATATTTTCATGATTGATTCCACGGCATTCGTGAGCCACGTGCTCCAGTGTTTCACCACCCTCCCTGTACGTTGTTTTTTTCACTCTCATGTCTAATCAGAATTTCACATGTTGCAGCTTGTGTCTGCTGACTCTTGGCCTGTTGCTGTGCACCTTGAAAAAGAGTCTGTGTCTCTTTTCCATACCCTCTTTATACAGTATAAATTAACTCGCTGATTTTTTTTCTTCCTTTTGAAGGGCAGTAACTGCTGCTGAAACAGTTACAGTAGTTTGACTGAGAAGGTCAACTATAAGGCAAAAACCCTGCACCTATCAGTGAAAGAAACTTAAGCCAATAAAAAGTAACCTCGCAAGTGGCACAGTCTAAGAATGAGCCTGTGCACGTATATGCAGCACATAGTCATGTTTTCATGTCTGTACTGAATTATTCAAGGAACATATAGTAAAGGAAAGATTTATCTCCTGGTAATGGAATAGACAACATTTGTTTTCATAGTTACAAGTGTACAAGCTACAGTTTATGTGATAGTAGCATAAAAAATGGTTTCCATGTCATTCATTGGCTTACATATTCGCATATGGGCAGGTGGTGTGAAATCTTAATCTGAGATGTTCCATCTCCAGTGGGAAATACTCATGCAGCCTTTCCTACTGTGTATAAGACTAATAAATTATTAAAGTTTTGTTTTCTTTCCTAGTTGACCTCCACTCAGCTTCAAGTGACTTATTACCACCTCCACCCCTCTTCTTTTGATCTCTGTACCTTCAAGGCGGTAGTGTTCTTCTTCACTTTGGGAATAAGTTTTACTTTTCTGCTGTGGTGAAGGGGTGTAATTGTTCAAAAATCGTTCAGGACTTGCACTTCTGCTCCTGAAAGCATGGCAGCTTTACTATCTGGGGAACAGATGATGCATTACGAACGCTTCTTCCCCCACCCCCCCTTCATGCAGGCATATGGTAATTCCTCTCCAGGTATGTAACTCATGGCTCTCTAAAGTGCTTTAGGATGCAGTAAATGAAAATCCCAGTTCATTACACTTGTGTTCACTTACTTGAGTAGATTCTTCCTCTATATGAACTTCAGTGTGACCATTGCTATTGCTTATTCAGTTTTGTATTTCCCTTTAAGTGTAAATACACATCTTATTTTATGACGCTAATAAAAATGACTATGTGGTTTTTAACTATCCTGTAGCAGGCCATCATACTCTTCCCTTAAAAAAAGTCTTTTTTGAATGTTGTATTTCTATGGCATACTGGCATTTCTCATTTACACATTTACTTAAGTATTCTTCCAGTACGTGTAGCATTCTTTACATTCGAATCCTAAGATTTTTTTTTTTCTCCTTTCTATGTCAGCCCCAATTTTTCTCCGAATTAATTTTATCACCTTGAAAGATTCAGTGTGCGCAGATTATCTATTCCTGTGATGTAAGGAGAACTAGTCAGCAATGCCTTTGAAGCACAGTGATACTGTTTCTTGAATCCCTACAACTACTGCTCAGCATCTGTTTCTTAATTTATCTTGTAATCCATGGAGGATTTTTTTTCTGAAAACATGCGGATGAATTAATGATTGTTACACTACTCTGGTTTTCTGTTTGTGATTCTCTGTGCAACCCCATAATTTAGTAGGATAAATAATTGGAGAAGCTACAAACTACTATGCAGAGCAAACTTGTAGATTTTGAAATGCCGCTGAAGAGGGATAGTCCTTTCAGGTTCTTTGGCAGATTTGTACAGCATTGGAAAAGTTGTTGATGTTTGCTTTTCAAAGGTAGTGTCTCTTAGCTGTGTGGGATTTTGATTGACTGTATATTTTTCAATTTTCTCCCGGACACTTAAAATAATTGGTTAGCATATCAATTGCAATCTAGTTACTTCAATATCACCTCTGTTTATAAAACTCTTCACCTGGTTTAAGCCATGCACGTTTCTTTATATGAATGTTCCTAGCTGATTTTCCTGGTAAAAATGAAATTTGGATATGTAACTAAAAGGTTCTTCATAGTTTATTATATCTTGCAATTTATTTGTTAATAAATTTTCCTAGACTTGGACCTTCCTTTAGAATGAAGTCATCTAATTGCATAACTTGTTGCATTGCCTAGAAGCATCGGTTAGGTGAGGCTTTGCTGGGCCAGAGGATGTGTAAGCCTGTGGTAAGCAAGATGCATTTGTTCACGTCTTTCAAAGACAACTTTCTGCATTACACCAATTTTCTTAGTAGATAAGACTAATGTCAGACAGAAGGAAGTGAAAATCCTTTCAGGGTTATATGCAGCTTAGAGTTCAGTAGATGCTGGCTTTGTGAAAATAAATAGTGAGCTCTATTGGTTTAGATTAATTGACGTTCGTTATAGTATGCTGCTTATTTATTTTCTGTCTAATTGCTGCAGTCATGAATCGGGGTGCTTTTGTGAAAGATGTTATTTGCACGCTGTTCTGACAGGTTTACGGTTCAAGATGGCAGAACTTAAAGCACTCTTCCTATATTTTGACAGCACTGCAAATGCAAATGTTTTTTTTTTTCATTGTGAGAGTTAGTCAGTGGCTTCACTTGTTGAAATAACTTCTGTTCTTCTACATCTAACTCAAAGCAGGAAAAAATCATATGTGTATTTGTGCAAGAGATAGCTGAAGGTCCATTGTAATGCTATTTCTATTATTCATAAATCAGGAAAATCTGATTCATAATTGATGAGTTGCAACGCTATAGACTGTGGATGTTTCAGTCTTCCATGACTGAGAATAAACTGTAGTGTGGTTTTGGTGTTGTTTGTTGTTTTGAAATGTGTTCAAATATTTTTCTCAGGCCTTGATAGTATCACAAGGTAGGGAATTTTAAAAAATATATATTTTAAGGAAAGGAAAGAGAAGCTGATGACATGCAAGCGTTAGTAGATTTGGACATCATTTCATTTTGTGCACGTCCTATCTAACCTGATGTATTCTTGCAATCAACAGGATAAGGCCTGCTTTGGGGGCTTCTTTAAAAAGGATGAACACAAAAACCCTTTATTTCTTTATTTTATCAAAGATCATGAAGGTCTCTTCCTCTGCTCCACTTGTAGAAACAACAAAATTTTACTTGCCTGAAAGAGATGCAAAGCTATTGGGTTATTTCTAGCATTTTCTTCAAAACAGTTGAATAGTTTGAAATGAAAAGGAGCTCTCACAGGAGCTCTGCAAATGCAAATTGATTTTTAAAACAAAGCAAAAGCTTTTTGTAATCTCAGTGAACTTTGGTTGTTTCTGTCAGAGATGCTGTTTAGGCTTGTTGCAGGTAAGTGCTATGCAAATAAAGCAGTACAAATAAAGCAGCGCTGATTCACACTGGTCTCCGATTTATGTTTTAGTACACAACTGAACACAAACTAGTCACTGAATCGTGTTCTGTAGTGCTTTACCTATATAAATGTTGCAGTATTAGCTTACACTTGTTAAGTTAAAAAATGCAATGAGCTTATTGTGCTAAATCTTAAGCAAAATAGTATAGGCAGTCTAAATCAGCTGTTGTCTTACCTCTGCAATGTGTATTTGTTCAGTAGGAGTTCAGAGTTAATTCTGAAAGATGAGCTGGGTCTTATTGTCACTGCCAGATAAAGGTTTGGATTGCTTTGCCTTATTAAAGAAAAAACAGCTCTTTTCAAGTGGCTATTCTGGAATTAAACTCTTATTCTGTATTTATGCATTGTAATATAATGAGCTTCAAATATATTCTTCCAAGCTTCTTGACATCTTTTTGGTATCACTTCAAAAAATAAGATTCAAATAGGACTATACTAAAGCTAAATATTACTGAATCCCGAATGCAATGATTAGTTAAATGCAAAACAATATGAGAGTAGGAAGGGCTGTTTTACCAACTTATCTGAATCCTTCCAAAGTATGTGCTTAAAAATATAGTCTTTGCAGTGTGTCTCAAGAGTTCTGAACTATTTTAGAACAAATACAGTGTGAATTTCAATGTTTTGTTGACTCTGACAGAAAATTCATATTGAGCAATATTACTAGGGTATTTTTTGCCTAGGAAAGTTGAGCTGTTCCTCTTTGTTAGTTATGATTGTTTAAAGCCCGTCTATTTTACAGTACTTACCTCTCATTCACTCAAATTTAGCTAAGAGTCTCTACGAATGACTAGTGCAAACTAGCGTTTGCAGAGTTAGTTCAGTCTCTGGTTTATTTCTCAATGTTTTCCATGAATAGCAGGTCCTGTACAGTTTTGATTTGCTCCTCTTAAGACCATGTTTGATGCAAGCTGAAGAAGCAAGGTTTCATTCTCTTTAACAGTAATGTGCCAAGACCCTAACAGGTTATGAAAAAAATTCATAAAATAAATGGCAAATTATTTCTACTATTATTCAGACAGTTCTCATCTCCAATAGCTTAGAGTTGAAAAGCAGGAAGAATGTATTTCAGTTCTTTTCTAAACCTTGTGCTTACTGTCAATGGTGAGGAAAAGATTGCCTTCGTTTTTATGCAGGCATCATAAGTCTGCATTGTTTGAAAAAAGTCCTGGAAGAACCCCCTCTCTCTTTGATATTGCAGCCAATATATTTAAGAATAGAGTCCCCTGCTCTAGTGATTTTTGAGATGAAGGAAAATTAATCTGGAAGAACTGCTTTGGTATTGAATATTACCACTCACTTAGCAGAGGACAGATAATGTGTTTAGCAGCTGTGTCCTGCATGGACCTCACAAATATGAGAAACTGCACCAGAAAACTTTATTAAACGGTCAAAATAGACATAAAGGACAGGAAACATGTATAAGTTGTAAGAATATGATGTTTAAAATGATAATTGATACATAAGCTTCAACGTTTTTGCAGAGATTAATGGATTGTATTAATTACACTTTTCTAATGGCTTTCTTTTTCCCTAGGCACGAGCTTTAACACCTCAGACAGCAGAAACGGATGCGATAAGATTTTTGGTTGGGACACAGTCTCTTAGATATGATAATCAGGTAATTTTTTTTGTCAGATACCAGTTATATATTTTTTTTTTCTTTTCTGTTTCAACAATGTTCTGACAAAATTCCATGTTCTTCCTCCCCTCTGCCTGATTTGAATAGTAGGTGATAGTTCACTTAAAGAAGATTTTTGTGAGCAAAATATAGAGGTGCTGGTAAGTGTGGGTGAATGAAAAATTGTGTGTATTTTTGGAAAACTAAACTAAACTCCTCTAACTTACCAAACTAAATCAGATTGATTACTTAGTGAAAGAACTACCATGTTAATTTAAATCTTTGGATTTTCTGGAGCTATTTTTAAACCACAGAAGAGATATGAAGTAAAACAAAATTCTTTAGTTCTAAATCCCGATCACCTCTAATGGGTGTGTACACCCCCCCCTTCTGCTGTGTGTACAGTTCTGCATATGTGAAGCTTCATAAACTGGCTTTTTCGTTTTTAATTGTTGGCAATCATCTGTGTCTTTTCTGATCATAAATTTAACAACAATTGAAACTGGGAATATCTGAGGGACCTTCATGGTTCAATTTTTATTGGGTTGTTTCTTCTGTGGCTATGTTTAGTTATCTGTATAAAAGTACAGTACTTGATTAGTTGTGACTAAAATTCAGCAAATGCCTTTGTATTGAAAAATGGCCTTGAAGCCTGAACTGTTAGCAAGCCCGTAGAACGAGTACAGTTGCTGACTCTTCAGAAACTGGTCTATAATTGATTGTGCAAAAAGATCTTGGAACTGTAGCTCTGGGAGACATGACCTGCATATTTATCACAGTGAGGTTTTGAGTTTGCTCAATGATAATACGGGGTGGTACTCACGATTTAAAAAAAAAGAAATCAAAGGCATAAGGAGTATAGCATCTGAGTTTCTTTCGATTTCGGGTAATTTTTGTGAGCCAAGAGAAAAACTGACAGAATAAGCTTAGTTAAAGTGAGTACACACAATGATGTTTTTGATTGTGCTATGTTAGATGGTCTTCAGGCATTATGAAGTGTTCTTCTATTGATTAAATACACAATATAACCTGCCTAAAAGTCACATCCATCTTTTATTTCTCAGTTTTATTAATAATTAAATCTTGATCCAAAACAGTAATTGGAGAGCGATTCTCGCTTCTCAGCTGATACCCAGGAGGTCTTAAATAATTTAAATGTACTCATTCAGGTAAGCTGATGGGGCATAAATTCCACATTTTAGAAATATCTCTGTATACACATATTTCGACTTTATCAAGCATGCTTTTCTTTTTTCCCTGATTAGCATTAATAAATAGACATGCAGGTCACTTCCCAGGGTATTAAAACATGTTTGGGAGTTATTGGCCTTTAGCTGTGCCTCAGGCTGTCATCTCCTCTCAGCTAGTTGCTAATCCCCATGAAGTGCCCTAGGCCTCAAATATTATTGCTTAATTTATTAGTAGATTCTCTAGGTTTGCTTAGAAACTTGGTTACCGGACCTACTTTATGAGCTGGCTTCCTACCTTTAGTGCTTGATCAGGTACTGCACACTGGGAGATTTCTCATGCAGCTCCATCACATGCAAAATCTTTCTTCCCTTCCAGTCGTGGACTGGATGTTGCAGATGAGAGGGTACTAACTGATCGGCTGACATGGGAACTTCTCCCTTGTCAAGGAGTATTGCTGTAGGAAGTGATTTAGGCTTTCGCAGGAGATTCAGTGAGCGTATTTTTCTATTAACACTTTAAAATAAAAGTGAAGGAAAAGCTTTAGTATTGTCTCAGTATTTGAGATATTGACAATGTAAGAGTGCAAATTGTGCAGTCAGGCAGGGCTGAATGTGCTCTATATGAAGAACTAACACAATTTTAAATCCAAATTCTTTTCTACCAAGACAGACCTTCACATATTTTACGTTGCTTCTTAATAACATACCTGACTCGGTATATTTGAGGGATCCGCTCTATCTCTGAGATGTAAAAGCCAATTATCGGTATTTATGTGTGTTAAAAACAAAACAAAACAAAAAAAACCCAGGGATTGCTCTTCTCTTTGTACCATGAGTCTGTTGAATGTGTTTTACCTTAGAGGTGTAAAAGGAAGGTGGTCTTTCAGGTTGTACCTGCAGTATATGTTGCTATTCTTTGCCCTCCAATGCTGAGTTCTTAGAAAAAGCCTTTTTTTGTAAACAAACAGTTTCAGCTGTAAACTTATTCAGAACACGGAATAAACAAAAACAGCACAGAAAGCTGCATAGATTATGTCTTTCAATAAGAACAGAAGGGGAGAGGTTAGAAAGTGTAATGATGAATGAGTAAGTGTTCTGTATAGACAGAAGCACTCAAATCGGGACAGAGTAGATCCGAGAGAGGATGTACAAGAAGGTGAAATAAAGCAAAACAGTAAATGACAAGTCAAAGTGACATCATAATGTAAAGTTTTGAAAGGCAGGAGGGTCACTGTTTAAATTGGACTGGACAATGGATATTTAGTTGGTGTAGATGAATAGTGTCCTGATTCCTTGGTAGATTTGTAGGTTCAGGGCAGCAAATGAAATCTGATACCTTACTAAACAGCTGCGGGGAGGTTAATATTCCTTATTCAACAGAGTGTAAGAAGATACAGGAAATGAGGATTTAAAATTTGAGGAAGGAATTGCTGATGACAGTGTTTGGAGGAAAGAAAAAGGTAACATATAAATTCAGCGTTCAGGCATTTAAAAAAGCAGGGCATAATATTGCCAATTTATTTATTGCCAAGTTGACTCCTGTCTAGCTTCATCTCCCCTTTAAGAAAATTATCTGTAACACTGTGTAACTAAGATTTTAGCAGTGAACTAATTCAGTAGCTAATGACGGGATGTCTTTTTTTCTCTTTCTTTTCATTGCTCAGAACTTTGCTAATGAACTTTTAATGAGTTCACCAAAAATTCTTCTGTAATTTGTTTGTTCGTTCGTTGTTGAACGTGTTGGAATTGCTCCCATGAGTAAAGTTACTTGTATATTTTGTGATGGGCTAGAATTTTAAATAAATAAATTTTAAATACATTCCTTTTATTTGTGATGCAAATGTAGGAAAAACTACTGTAATTTAAAATAGCAGAAAAGGCAAGAGTAAGGTAGACCAACTTAAAATACTAGATATATTTTAATCTTTAACATTTTATTCTTCCGTACAATCTAGAAAGTGTTACATTTCCAGATGCTTTAATAATTGCTTCAGATTTGTATGTGGTTCCTGAAGTGAACTCCTTAAAACAAGCAAGCCAAAAAACCCCAAAACAAACGAACAAAAACCTTCTCGCTAAGCATCAGCGCTCTCAGTTTCAGATAGTAGTCCTTTCCCATTCAAGTTCTTTCTTTAGAAGATGTTTAAATCTGATGATTTAGATACAGAATCGGTGCAAGCATTTAAACTAAGGATTGTAATGTTGTTATTTCTGTTCATTATTAGGAGAAGTATGGAACTGAAAGATTAGTGGAAGTAGTTCATCTACTTTTAACTGTGGTATGAAAAGCACCTTCAAGCTTTAACTTGCAGCACTGGGGAGAGTATACATGGGATTCCCTTGAAATGTGGAAATTGCTTTTCTAGAAAAATATATCCTACATGAAATTAATGTTATACTAAGTTGTTAGTGTAACAATTAATTAAAGTAGATATGAGTTATAAAATTCTCATTAATTTGTTCTGTGCAGTCACTGTGTATAATTAAGACCCACAGGAAAACCTTTGAAGCCCTAATGTTCTCTTTTATTTTATTTGCAGATTCACATCATAGATTTTGATGATGAAAATAACATTATAAACAAAAATGTTCTCCTTCATCAAGTTGGTGAAATTTGGCACATTAGTGCCAGTCCTGCAGATAAAGGGGTACTAGCAACCTGCTACAATAAAAGTAAGTGCTTTTTAATCACTTATAACCTGTTTAAGTATTTTAATATTTTTGAATGTGCAGAAGTTGAATACTTAGCAATGTGTAAACAATTTAAAACAGAATTTCTCAATACGAGCATTTTCCAAAAATCTTCTTATACCATTAAAAACACCTTGTCTATCTTATATCCTTAGATCACCTTCGTTATAAGTCTACTTTTACATTCAATTCACAGAAAGCAGCAAAACAAAAGTATTGCATACCTGATGCAAAGTATGACAAATGATATACTCACGTTATTTTAGGCTTCATTCTTTTTGTTTTGTATGTTTACTTTCAAAAATAAAAGCAAACATCTTTCAAAATAACATCTTGCCAGCATCAAATTCTTTTAAAAACTGCAGGTGATGTTTGTATATAGTTATTTATTATATATGTAAAACACACATGCCCACAAAAAATTACCTATTCTTGCCTAAATATCTCATCCAAAAAAGTAGGAATGCTCCTAATTGTAACCTAACAGTGAGTGTTAATCCTGATGTCCCCTGGAGGGACAACACAGCAGGACACAAGCAATCCAGGAGGATCTTGGAAAGCATTGATGGCAACTTCCTGATACAGGTGACAGAAGAGCCAACAAGGAGTGTTGATCTGCTGGACCTCGTACTTACAAACAAGGAAGGGCTGGCTGGGGATGTGAAGGTTGGGAGCAGCCTTGGCTGCAGTGACCACGAGATGGTGGAGTTCAGGATCCTGAGAGGAGGGAGCAGGGGGAAAAAAGCAGGGTCATAACCATGAACTTCAGGAGAGCTAACTTTGGCCTCTTCAGGAACCTGCTTGGAAGAATCCCATGGGATAGGGCCCTGGAAGGAAGAAGAGTCCAAGAGAGCTGGTTACTATTCAAGGAGATCACATCCTCCAGGCTCAAGAAGGGTGCATCCCTCTGAGGAAGAAGTTGAGCAAAGGGGGCAGGGGACCTGCAGGGATGAGCCAGGAACTCCTGGCAAAACTCAGAAGTGTACAGAAGATGAAAGCAGGGACAGGCCACTTGAGTCTAATGGTATATACTGCAAGATAGATTAGCGTACATATGAGATCCTGGGCATACGAACAGCAGCTTTCACACCATCTGTTCTTTTGCTGGGGTTGCAGCAATTTGCATCGGTTCCAAGTATTCACTAATGTAGGCTAAACATGTTTAATGGGGACCCTCGGAGGGCATAGGGTAAAAGAAGCAAATCCCGTGTTGTTTGCAGACATATCTTGGTTACTATTGTGGCATATGTCCAGTCAGCCAGCTTTTGTCTATACTCTTTTGTTTTTGTTTGGAAAAATCGTGGCTGCTCTGACATGCTTACCTGCTGATATCGGCATATTCAGGGGTCATGGAGTCTTACTGCAGTGAGGGAAGAAGTTCTGTGGTAGCTGGGGTCAAGACCTCTGCCCTTCCAGGTAGGCAAAAATCTAGAGAGAGAGGAGAGGTGGCAACTTGCTGTGATCTCTCTGACTGCAGATTTGGGGAAGGACACAATCTGAGTATTTCTCAAACTCAGACTGCGTCTAAAACTCCAAAGAAATTACCAGTAAACTAAAAAGCAGGAGAGTCCTCTGCGAGCAACATTCTAGTATATTCATAGTGGACAAATTGCTGCATTTCATCTGTACTAAACTTACTCTGCAGCCACACATGCGCTTTATTCCTCAGAAAGAACACTATCTCGTCACCAGCTTTCAATTCTTTCTTGCCCTCCAATGTACAAGATGCCGTCTAATAGCTGACTTTGTTTCTCCACTGTTTAAACGGGGAGGAGTGGCTGATACCCCAGAGGACTGTGCTGCCATTCAGAGGGACCCGGACAGGCTGGAGAGCTGGGCAGAGAGGAATCTCATAGAATTCAACAAAGGCAAATGCAGGGTCCTGCACCTAGGGAGAAATAATCCCACGCAGCAGTACAGGCTGGGGGTTGACCTGCTGGAGAGCAGCTCTGCCGAGAAGGACCTGGGAGTGCTGGTGGACAACGAGTTAAGCATGAGGCAGCCATGTGCCCTTGTGGCCCAGAAGGCCAGTGGTCTCCTGGGGTGCATGAGGCAGAGTGTGGCCAGCAGGTGGAGGGAGGTGATCCTGCCCCTCTCCTCAGGCCTCGTCTGGAGTACTGTGCCCAGTTCTGGGCTCCCTGGTACAAGACAGATACGCACTTGAGTGAGGCCAGTCTTGAGAAGGCCCTCAAGGATCATGAGGGGACTGGAGCCCCTTTCCTGTGAAGAAAGGCTGAGAGCTGCGCCTGTTGAGCCTGAAGAAGAGAACACTCTGTATATCAACGCGTATAAGTATCTGAAGGGAGGGTGTCAAGAAGATGTAGCCAGACTCTTCTCAGTGGTTTCCAGTGATACGTCAAGAAGTAGCAGGCACAAACTGAAGCAGAGGCAGTTCTATTTGAACATGAGGGAAAAAACTTCTTTCCTCTGAGGGTGACTGAATGCTGGCGCAGGTTGCACAGAGGTTGTGGAGTCTCCATCCTTGGAGATATTCAAAAGCTGTCTGGATATCGTGCTCTAGGTGACCTTTCTTGTGCAGGGCAGTTGAAGCAGATGATCTCTAAAGGTTCCTTCCACTTTCAGTCATTCTGTGATTCTGTGAATGCACAGCTGTTCAACTTTAGGATCTCTGCTTTCCTAGTCAAGGTAGGTGTTAAGAGTCTGTCTTGGGGTTTGAAAAATCCACCTGCTTCACTTTGGGAAGGGAACTTTTTTTCTCTCT